AGTTCCACATTTCCCCACCACGGTTTGTTGCAATATCCATGCTTGGTCCACTTTCACTAATGGACGGAATCTGCACCTTCCAGGGTCCATTGCCGATGAAATGGATGGCCTTGGAGTCCCTCACACAGGACAAGGTTTATACGAGCAAATCAGATGTTTGGGCGTATGGAATTACACTTTGGGAAATGTTCAGCCTTGGGAAGACCCCGTATCCTGGAATAAACGGCGCAGAGCTCGTCCGGCTTCTCCAGACGGGGTACCGCATGGAGGCACCTCGATTCGCCGATCATCATTTGTGAGACACTGTTTATCTGTCGCGGTTTTTACCTTTGAACATGATGTCCATCGGCGGTTCATACCGACAATTTTTTCCGTGCTTGAACAGCTACGAAATAATGAGGAAGTGTTGGGATGAGGATCCAAGCAATCGTCCGACCTTCCACGCGTTGAGCGCATGTTTCGGCGAAATGCTTCCTGAGTCTGAGCGTCTGGTGAGAATCTCTTCCATGCCCTTTCGATCTATAATTTAAACCCAAATTTCAACAACTTTTCAGTCATGTCCTCTTACAGCACTACATGGAAAAGTACGAGTTGTTCGATAAAAAGAACGCAGAGTACTTCCGGACCAAGACGGACTACTTAAAATTGATTGCAACTGAAACGGAAGATGGATATCAGATACCGTTGAGTGAAAAGTATGGAAAAGAAGATATTTCAACTGCACCCGAACATGTGAAATCGGACAATTTTCCGCCAAAGGTGGACAATCTGCCGAAGATGGAAACCATAACACAAGAGGATCACCTCCAGGAAAGACAGGAACCACAAATGCAAGAAGAAAATTCCAGGGAAAATTCAAACCTCAAAAACGACCCAATCTCCGGAAACGAGGAAAATTGTCGCATTGGAACCGAGCAAACTGGGAATCCGGTAGTCGAAGATGACCGTAGCGTTGAATATGAAAAAGAAGTCGAGCAATGTGGAAACGCCACTACTTCGCACATCTGACGAGTGGAAACGGATCGCCCCAAAGTCAAGGAACGACGGTTAAAACAAACCAATGAGCATGCGATTGCATTCATCTGTCTTTCTTTCTTTTAAATGGATGAAGCAGGTTCGAGGGTGTGAATGCTCCTTGGTGGAAAATCGCTCGTCAATAGCATGCTTTCATCAAGAAAAATCAGAACTATAGCAAGTGAATACCTTCCAGAAACGAACATTACGACAACCAGTGTTTTGTGCTAGATATTAAAGCTGTAGTCCGTTGTGGCTAACAGAACTGGAAGAATCGGTGAATTAAGTATGAAATGCTAAAGTAAGTTTTGGCCGTCTCAGAATTGACCAGCAGGTCTTTTTTTTTCTCTGAATCCTCCACATTCACCATTCTTCACCGTCATTTGCTTGTTTCTCTATCGTCTTCTGCGTTTTCTGCTCCGAGGTTAATTCTCTCGTCCTTTTGACTAAAATATAATGAATGGATGACAAGATTAAACGCTTGTATTTAGGAAGAGGTAGTCTGGGAGAAGAAATAAATAACTCGTCCCTATTGTGCGACAAGTCTCTTATGGAAAAGTGGCATGGGGTTCTGTTCCACTTTCGCCAAGGCGGGAACATTAGAGCTGCAAAAATTCCAACTAGCCAAAATTTGTTAGGCGTAGATTTGCAATCTATTAGAAGCTCCGCACATCACTATTCCTCACTTGATGTAGTATTACACAGTCCTGATTGAGACCACAAGCTGGAAAGCAGAAACTGTTCGCCGTCTCAATTGCGTTGGACGGCTACATCAGGGCGCTGTAGATCTGAAAATTGAAATACTTTCATGGGTTCATCGAAGAAAACCAAAGAAGGAACACTGCAAGTATCCATTGGTTTAGGAAAAGATTGCAGTCATTATGAAGACAGCCCATAGAAACCCATGAAAACCTATGAGAACCTTCATGTGCATTATTCATGGAATCCTTCTGCAAGTATCATTTCAAAAATCCTGAAACCCTGAAAATCTCTCACTCTCTCTCTCGCTCTCTCTCCCTCTCTCTCTCTCGCTCTCTCTCACCCTCTCTCTCTCCCTCTCTCTCCCCCTCTCTCTCCCTCTATACAGGCTGTTCGTTTTTAAACATAACATAGGGAATATTTTGCCCCCTGGAGGTGGAGGTCGGCGAACGCTATAAGGCCCATCCAGTTGCTTATCTGCAAGGAAACACCAGTACAGTGATAGATTTCACCTTTCCTGATATGCAAACCGGTGAGCTATAGGGCACGCGCTGTAGTCCACTGACAGGTGACAAAAATGTCCCTGTGTTGCGCTTAAATACGAACACTCTGTCGTATGTGATACGGAAAACTTCGTTAGCTTTTGGCCTCTTCTACGAAGTATTCTACTCTCACAGCTGCAATGCTTAAGAATTTACATTCCTTGCCTGGCAGTCATTCCAATGGTCTTCATCATTTCAAAGCTTCCTCAAGGTGGGAAGCCAGCATCTTTGTTTCTCTCATCCCTTGAATCGTCTAGATAACGAGCGGCAAAATAATAGGTTGTCATGCTCTTGAGAGAGCTGGGACAGAGAACAAACCATTGAGTGCCTTAGAATATATTTATAGGAATTTAACGAGGGAACTCTACATCTCATTCGCGAGTTTGGATCATTTATGCGTCTTTTTAGAATTGGTTTACTGATAGACAAACAGATTAAAATCAATTATGCATATTGATGAAAGAAGAAAAAAAAACGTGAGGAAATTTGTTAGGCCAATAGTAGGAGAAGGTGGGGCAAAACTTTTCGGGTTTCGGAAAATTGCCAAATTTAGAACCAAGGAATTGGCGTAGCACATAGCGGTTTGGTATGAGGTACCTTTCATGTCTTGCTTACGACTAAGACTCAACTTCATCGCGAAACCGGCGAAAGTTTTTCCCCCCGACAATTCTAAATGATGGTATCAAATGCCCCGTTTTGCAAATATTGTTTTACGAAGTTTTCATTCATAAATGTCAAAAGTTGATCTCGTTTCTCTTAAACGGAGGATAAGGCCTCGGTCAACATCCATCAATTGTGGCCATTGAGCGCTTCTCTGAATTCGTCTGCAATAATCGATCGTTCTAAGGATTGTTCATCACCCCACGTATAATGGCTTTGCCAGAGTAATTTCTCAATGGAAAAACTGAAAAAAGCTTTGCAATTCTCTTTCGGCATGCCCTACCCAAGGAATCGAACTTACTTGCAAAGTAATTTATTAATCTGGAGCAAAAGTCGTGCCCGAGCTTCTTTGACGCCCGGGAGCATTTGTGACGGTTACAATCTGATTCCCATTAGGTAAGGTAATCCTTCTCACGTATTGCTGCAAGGCTCATAGTTGAAGCTGCAATATTCGGTTCGAAGTTCGGAGTGTTCGAAGTTCGGCATGTTCCAAGTACGAGGAAGCATCCCAACAGTTTTTTTAAATGAAGCTTCAGCTCCAAAGCGAGGATGAGGAATTTGCAGTACATCCAGGATCCTGCAGAGAAATTCATGCTTGAAAATGTGAAGTCGATTTTAACGAATCCCTCTTTTTCATTCGTGTAGAAGCGTAATTGCCATCAAGTTCTCATGAGCCGAGTGGGGGAATATGCGATATCCTCGAAACATGAAGTATGCAGTTGTTTACCCTTTTTGAAGGGTGAAAGGTGATTTCCTTGTATATATGCTCCTCGTCTTTCGCACGACCCACATCATAGAGAGCAGGGTGAGGACCTGCCATCGCCGGTTTGTATCTATCATCGCACTTACCCCTCATCCGTGGGGAAAGTTTAATATCTAGATACTTCTCTCAGAGAGAAAGGAGGCGAGGCACCGAACCAGGGTCGCTAGGAGGGGGCGTAGCGTACAAAAATTTCGAGAACCGCTGCTCTAGGGTGTGATGGAATGACCCACGATTCAGATGCCACCTAAATCGTCTTTCGTGGTGAACCGGTTACCGAGTAGTGTGACTAATTCCTGTTACTGTGCCTAAAATGGCCAGCAGACGACAAAGGTCATTGAAATTCTTGAGGTCTTTCACGAAGTCTACCTCTTCATTTCTCCTTCTCCCCTCTCGCGTTCCCAATCGTGCCTGGCACTAGCATTCACGTTCCCCCTCTTTCGGTCTGAGAAATGGATCTACTCCCCCCCCCCCCCCCTCCGGTCCCCAGCTCCATATCTAGGAGAAACGTACTAAATACCCTCTTTGAGTCTGGTACCCTCTTGCTTCATCTGCATCTTCGAGTTTCGTACATGGAAATCTATTTCGAAAATTTAAAGTATATGATTAAGTTTTCTAAGCTTATCCATATTTCATTGGAATCGTTAGAGATTTGAAAGGTTGCTCTGTCTTCGGAAATTGTTTGCGGAACTTCAGCTCCATGGTCTTGGTATCCCTCCCTCTGTATCTAGAGCTAGGAACACGGGACAGGTATTCTTCCCCGTGTCACTACCTATTCTGGTTTGTGGAAGGGAATGAAGATTCTCCTTTGGCGAGCGCAATTTCTGGAGCTTTCTCCTCATACTTATAGACAATTGGAGTAAATTCCGAAGTTCCACATATCCCATGGCTGTAACTTTAAAATTGAACTTTTCTTGTTTGCCTGAGTGAATTTCTGGTTACGATGAAATTATGGTTACGTAATGCAATGGTTCTTACCCTAGGAGAGGCCGTGTTACATCAGGATCTTTATATCTCATGGTATACTCTCATGGCATACATGACCGCGCCGAGCGATTAAGGAAAATGCTACAAACAATTCAGGAAAATAAGCCGTGGGATACTTTTCTTTCCCTGATTGGGTTTCACCTAAATGTAAGCACTCCTCCTTCCACATTCAGTACGCGAGGTAATCCATGCCTAATCCATTTCCTTGCTGAGCTCTAAAAAGTGTTCATGAGAAGAATGGACTGCGCCCTGGATTGATCGTTGTTGTCGTCGCTAATAAATCGGAGAGAAATAATATTTTTCATGAAAATGAAAAATAAGTGATAAAGAGGGCATGTAACGAAAGCAAAAGGTAAATAAATTAACTAAAAAATAAAGGTTTCAAATAGTCATACCTGAAAACTCTTTTACATGTCAAAGATCAAATGAAAAGGGATTGGGGGGGGGGCTTGTTACAAATTTTGGTACGTTTCCACGACTGCCCCTATATTATGAAAGCTTTTCGCAGGAAGCGATAATCGTAGACCAATTTTTACGAATAATTACGAACTGGAATGAATGCAAGACCTCAGGTCTAAGGAACAGCATTAGTTACCACACTTCCTCTCCGACTGCATTTTTTTTCCTTAAGGAGTGAAATCGGGAGAATCGCAATCTCGCAGTATTCTTTGTGTATTGGTTGGGAGGAAAGGGATTAAAACTGGATTTGCCATCCGTAATTATAAGAGATGTTGGATACCTCGCGAGTGGACATTTTGAAATGCTATAGAAATATCTGCGAATGCCGAATCCTTGAAAGGATTCGGCATTCGCAAATAGGGGTTAGTGAGACGGAGGTGTGCTGGCGCCTCGCATCTCTCATGCACGGAAGAGAAGTCTAGACGGGAAAAAGAAGTGTGAGAGAGGGAAAGAAGGATCACGCTTCGTACAGTATGCTGTCCATTTCAGGCACAACTGTGAAAAATCCCACCATTCCTAATCCTACCGGTTCACCTGGAAAAGCTATGTAGGTGTCATCAGGTTATGCCATCGCACCATTGACTCTAAAGAAAAAGCAGCTCGTGATCGCAGACGAGGAAGGAGGCATGCAGGAGAAACGCAGCCGATCGCTGCATGATTCTTCGACATGGCCTCAGTCAAATCGTTCTTGGTCTGAGGATGATGAACAAATTCGCGCATGATTCGGCAGAGCCATTCTTCACAGTCGTCTCGAAGAATCTGTGTAAAGAACTCAACATGTATTAACCTCGTTCTGAAGATCTCTGTCCAGGGGTGGAACTAATTCCGCATCCCGATTAGGTCCTTTTTCCAAGAACCATCCATCACCAGTGATGCAAAATATATTGGAAGTCCCTTTGTTCCTTTGTTGTGGGGAGGAAATAGTGAAAGCCCTTGTGTCTATTAATTTGTACGTATTTTGACCCTTTGAGCTCTCCCCTCGTTACGTAGGAAAATTTGGATTCCTTATAAAGTTTGATGACCCTGTTTCATTAATCTTAAGCGTGTAAATTTTTTGTTTCCCGTCTCCATTTTAATGCCCACAAAATTAACAACCGTGCCGGGAGACATTTATCCGCAACCATGTTTTCATAAGGAATGGCTTCAGGAGAGAGAAGACAGGTTAAGGGTGACCGGCGACGTGGCGAGAGGACTCGCAGGAGGGGGAATTGAAAGCGAAGCATTCGAAGAAAAAAGAGGTGTCATAGGTACAATTAAAAAAATCAGTAGCAACAGGCGCCAGTTGAAGTCGCGTCGGTCTTCTTCTACCCCTTCAACGCACAGAAACACATTCAATCATGAGGACGTACAAGTGTGTGCGAGGCGGGAGGGAGGTCAAAGAGGGAAGAGTTGTGTGGGAGCATTCAATTTTTCAGGCAAATCGGCAATTAAAGCTCCGCGTTCTCTACCCCTTCAGAGACAGTAAACAATCTTGGTGTCATTTGATCCGTGAAATATCCCTCCATGGGATAGGCACATATAAACATACATTCTTGGCCGGTGAAACGAGAAAATTGACCCGGAATGGGAGAAATGGTCTAAATTTACAAAAGAGGCCGCAGGAAAAATCGATAGGCTCTTGGTTAGTGCAGGGATTCTCATGAAAATTAATATTAAGCTGGCTAAAAGAATTTTAGAGATTTCTACAAGAGGAATTATTGAAATTCAGCCTGGTTTTCGAGTAATGCCCGTCAACCTCGCGTCCCTTCAGAAAAAGCGGTCCTTTCACGTGGATCATCGAACTTTGAGTGGAAATGGTCGGAAAAAATCTATGCGCAATTCCACAGAAAGATGGACCAGAATCACCTCAAAAAACTGGAGCATGCTTTTGTCGATAGAAAATTTCTACAAGGCATGAGAGTGAAAAAACAATCTGGGAAAGGAAAAATTCTCCATTTTGGCGTCATGGCTTCTCGAGAACTACAGTTACATTCATGTATTTAGGATTTCCATTTAGCGCTGCATGTCCCAAGGAGATTGATGCAAATGTGACGTTTCTACGACCAAGGGTTGGAGAGATGCAGCTTTTCAAAGATAAGCATGCAAATCATGACGTTTCACCTCAGATCATGGCCCCTGGCATGACCTGAGGGAGCAAGCATTCGGCTCCAAGGCCCTTTCTCGAGTTCCCCTGCAACAATTATAAAGCGAAATTTCGATTCAGGGGGGTCCATTTTTATGTGCCCGTAGTACCTTAACCCCTATGAACACACTCAGGTACTGGACAATTTCCTGTTGTCATACGTCAGAATTTTTTATTGATTGAAATGAAGCAAAATGTTTTCCCTGAAAAGAGGCCCAGATCTGATTGCTCATATGCGTGATCAAATGATTAAATGATCAGATACACTCCTGGAAACATCACCGATCCTGATCCATTAATCTGAAACGTATTTTTTGCACTTCGGCTGACATTTGATACGTTCATGATATGCAAAAATCCAAACCTCTTTGTCGATAGAATCAATAAAATGAATCTACTGTTGTACTGCACGCATTTATCCATCGACAGATCTTTATTAATTACACAAATTACACAGAGCGCTTTCTTGGTGAACGGCTTTCCCGTTTAACCCCTTGAACACACCTGGTATTGGACTATTTCCTGCTGTCATAAGCCACTCACCATGTCCCAAAATGTATACGTTGCGTCAACGTTTGGAAAACGTCGCATTCCGATATTCTGCCACGTTCTTCGGACGACATAATGCCTGTCATTGTCCTTCATGAATTGCATTTCCATGACGTCCTATGTCTAGGCCAGAAGAGAAGTTGTTCTGCCACTTACTGTATTGATAGCAGTCCACGTGAGAGGAAGAGCCACCTCATTCTGTTTCGAGTTTTGTCCGCGGTATCACTCCTTAACATCCACATCTTGTCATCGAGTAAGGAAAGGGTGAACCGACCATTTCAACGCTACTCAAGATCTTCTTTTCGGATATATAGTTCCTTTCTCTCAAAAGGGTTCTCATCGAGGTTACGAGCTTGTTTATGGCCTGCGCTTCGTGAATCTGAGTTGAATATGTGAATAACGAATGATGAAGTGTCTGCGTTTATGATTCCTACAATGAAACTGGGCAAAATGTATAACTAGGTACTAAATTATCCTGGGAGAGACGATTCCAGGGAAAGAGGGAAGTGAACTTTTGCGTACTGTGCGAAACGAATACCTCCATCTAGTGGTATGACGGAGAATTGGCGGACCCACGTGGTGGCAATTACATCGTTCCCCAGCATTTACGTTCCCCCGACCTTTCTCACCTTTTCCCAACGTTGGGCCATCAAAACATGTCATCTGAGGCGTTTAGCAATTTCCATGAGAATGATCAATAGCCAATAGCCTTTCTGTTTTCCAATTTGCACTTTGGACTCAAGAAATCACGGACGTCAAATGACGTTGGTGTGACGTCGATGCAACTTCCGCGACGATGCGACCAGAATGCAACGTCGGTTTCGCAACGTTTTGTGTTGCATGGGAAGGTTTTCAAGGAAAGGTGTCAAGAAATTGATGAAATATGCTATTCTGAGACAAATAAATGAAATTTGGTTCCATTAGAGATTGAATTTCGAAAACCAGTCCCTTAGCCGCAATATTTCAGGAAGAAGATGGAAAAAAATCGTAAAGAAAATGAAGTGGAGTTTCCGAGGGAAAGCGTTCAGAGAAGGTAAGGACTTTTGGTAGGAATTTTTTTTAGTGTTACAGCGGATGAAATCGCTGTTGTCCAAATAAACATTTCACTGCAGGTAAATTTGCGACATTGAATAATGGATTACGGGTAAGCAGATGCTTCTTGTTGGTGCAAATGACACGGTAATATGGATGACTCATTCGTGACTCTGCTCATTTTCGTGACGCCAGAGGAGGAATTCCTCTGCTGCTGCCTCAATTTCGCTTCCCCAGAGATGAAGACCATCGAACCGAGTAACTTCAGTCCGTACTCGAGTGGGCCTTCTTCATCAGCACCGAACGCAGATCGAATCCACTATAACGGGCAACATGACGAAGAAGCCTCAGGGGAAAAGGATGACAGGAGAGCCCGAACTCCCCATGGGAAGGATGAAAAAGACAGGAAGAAAGACGCGATAAACAAAACTTTGTCCGAACCGGATGGATGATATGCTCACCAACGGGGAGAAGAGTGCTCAAGGATACCGGAATCTCGTCCACACTTTCCTCTGATACGCACGCATGTCGTGCGACTCCTGAGACAGAGTGCTGTATAGTGATACCATCGTGGTTCGGCATGTCATACATGGTACATAAATTCATGAATCCGTTCAGGTTATGATGATTGAAATTCTACATGTGTTGCTGCTTGTGATGGGTACGTACACGTACAATTTTGATTCTTCAGCTGAGTTTCTGGAGTATCTTATTAGGTTCTATTCGATCTAAATTCAAAAGCTTTATGCCTGTTAATTCCCAACTGCGAATGCAATGCTAATTGCCTCGCAACAGCGGCTGCTTTACATTGTTAACCAGATTCCCAAGCTTCTTTCAACCGGAAAGGGTGCTATTTGCAGTTAATATGCTTCCATACCATTAATTTTCTTCTTCGTCCACACCAGAGGTGTTTCTCGCATAGGCGATGAAAGAATGCTGAAAAATATATTCATTAAACAAAAACTATGGAATACATTTGCCAGAGCATTACAAAGGAATTTCTCGCCTTCAACGCGAAAGTTTTCTTCCTCAGAAATTCTTTATCTTCCATAGGAAAAGAAATTCGCAAGGAAACCACGGGAGTGAGATTTCCGATGCAAATGTGGTAAATTTCAGGCGGTAATTCTTTAAACTGCTGATATTACGTCCATCTATCCGATGAAACAGGAAAGAAAATGTGCTTGTTTTTCATATAAGATTCAGAAAAGTATCATAATTAAAGCTATTAATGATCTTGCTTTTCAGGGTAAGGTGCTGCAAATAATTACATAACAAATTTCAAGCGCTCCTCATAGAGTTCCACTTTGATAATTTGAAAAAAGATCTCTCAATTTGGGCTTGAATTTACAATGGGAGCTCGTAGAGGCAATTGCAGGGAGCTTGAAGAAGAAGCTATTGCTTGAAGCTATAGTTAGAATATGTTATAATGTGTTGAATTGCCTCTGAGTTAAGCTAATCTTTTAGTTCCAGCTATAAACAACAACCTACCTGCTCTTCAACAAACGAGCATTCCTTTGATGGCATGGGCATAAAATGCACAGTTGTTTAATAGGCCTGGTGAAATCACAGTGAAAAACTCCCCAACCATTTCTTATTCAAGGTGTTGTTTTGCTAATTATGCAGTAAATGAATTGCTGTACTGGTGATGCAACAAAAATATCATTTCATTACCTGTAGCTGGAAGGATTTGATCACTTAATTCCATTAATTAGAATTACTTATTATTTGAATCTGATGCTCATTTAACGTTTCTAAACCACCATATTTTTATTTTTTGCTTTTCACTGCACAAGTACTTGATGAGTGTGCTAAGAAGAAAACGCTTGTACAAATGCTTGTACATCAAGCTTGAAACCCCCCTTGTTAAGCTGAGAGGCAATGATATTCTTCAATCATTCTTCGTTGGTTTCCACATGTTATAACCCTGCTTTCGATTTGCATAAAACTTAGCTAATGATTAGCGATCAACAGTTCATTCTTATTATTAAACATTGCTTTGGAGAAAAAATAGTGAAGGAATTAATGCATTGTTTTATTAGCAGTGGCTGACATTGTATATAGTTTCTTATTTCTCTCTTACTGTCCTTTCAGAGGTTTGGTCAGGAAGTCTACCCATGACATAAACTTCAACACTTCATCTCTAACAGAGAAAGATGTTATGGCATAGACGTCACCATAGGGGGAATTATTCCTTGCCACTTATGTACTTGGCCTGGAAGATTCTTTTTGATGAAGTTCAAGGCCTACCTGCTGCTGCTTTTGCCGACAAAAGTGAGTCAGGATAATACCATTGAAGCTCAGTTTGTTCATGAAAACCAGGTTATGCTGGTGAGAAACAACTGAACTATTTCTTGCTTTGCATCCTTTGCTAATGTGCTACCTAATTTGTTGGAATGATCTTTGATGCTTCAGACACTCTTCATAATCATTTTCAACATGCAGTTCATAACCTGCTTCCCTATTTGCTTTTCTAGCCCTGGACATCATATCAGTGGAATTGGAGCCAGGCAGTGTCGTCAGTGAATGTTCTATTGTAACTATGCGATGTCGGGTAAAGCCAACCAGTGGTGAAATTTATTGGTCTGTCAGGGGAAAAAATATTTCCAGAAACTTGACCAAAGAAAAAGTGTCAGAGGAGTTAGGTGTTCGAACTAGTTATTTTCCTCTGTCATGTGTGAAGCTCACTCATAGTGGTAATTATTGGTGCCATGCATTCTTGCCCGGAAGCCCAAAAGATGTGATAGGAAAGAATGTTTCCTTGGAAGTGGAATGTGAGTCTCTGCGATGTTTTCCCTTTGTCTAAATATCTCATTTCACAACTTAGCAATGATCATGTGTTGGCTTTGAATATGCAGTGTTGCCAGAGCTGATTGATTCAAAAGAAGATAAAGTCAGGAAGGGATCCAATGGAACATTGAGTTGTTCCTTCAAGGCTCATCCACTAGCCAAAGTGTTATGGTTCAGAGACAATGTCTCACTTCCCTCAGATTCAAGGTATGTATCAATTAATTCTCAAAGTCAGCCTATCCTCATTTCTACTCTAGAGCTTGAGCATCTAGATTTTATGACAAGGGTGCAATTATGAATCTTTCGCCAGATGAATGCTATAGCATCTCTTATTTTTCTGAGGTTTAGGTTCAAAGTGGAGACAAAGGCAGGTGCAAATGAGTCTGTGACAGTTTACCAGTTGATGGTTTTCCAAGCAGAGTCACACGACAATGGCACATACAAATGTGAGGCTTCTAATCCCCGTGGCAGAGCTGAGAGTTTTGTGGCTCTCACCGTTCAAGGTGTGTCCAGACTAATGTTTTCTCATCTTGTTACATGTTGCTGGAAAGCATTCTGCATGAGAGAGATGCATTGTACTTGTGCACAGTTATGATACTTGTTTTTGCTTGCAGAAAAGCCTAAAGTCACTCTGGATGTGGTGAAAGGAGTGGGAAAAGGGAAATTGTTTGTGAATTGGACAGTATATGATGGGAATGCTCCCTTGGATCAATATTATGTTCAGGTGAGTTTCCTTGAATGTCTACTAGGTTCCAAAAATTTACATATGCTTCACTGACACCTGTTTTTTTTTTTTGGTGTCTCAGTATATGAAAGAGGGAGGTGATGAATGGGTTGCCCTCAGCAAGAGAGTGGCTGGGTCTGACCGCCAGGTTGTTCTCGTGGGTCTTGAACCATCAACAGCCTACCTTGTACGAGTCCAGGGTAAGAATGCCATTGACATGGGGTCATGGTCTGAAGAGAGTGTTGCTGTCAGGACCTTGACGGAGGATATGACATATGAGCCGGAAATCACTATCAAAGCCTCCACGTCACAATCCTTAAACATGGCATGGAATCCTCCACCAAAAACCATCCAGGACTTTGTTCAGTATTATGAATTGAAGGCTACTCATACTGATAAAAATTCCAAAAAATTCAACATTTTAAAAAAACTCGGCAAAAAAAAATGTTTTCTGGGACCATGACAAAAAAAATGCGCATGGTCCCACGCGGCGGACAAGCAAAAATAGGCTGGTCGTCAACGTGTCAATAAAGAGAGAAAGTGCATATTTATTTTATGGGAGTGTTCTGTAACTCCAGTCACACTAACAGTGATGAGATTCATGCTTGTGGTCCCTCTCTGTTCTCAGGAACTAGTCAAAGGAACCTGTATCATGTTTGAGATTGCTTTTATCTTGAAGTAAGCCTACTTATATGTTCTTCTTTTTCATACATGGGGAGTTATTATTATTGTATAAGTTATTGAAATGGTGCTCCTGATGACAATATCTTTATATCTCAATATCTTTCAATTGCTGTTTTTTCCCCTTTAGGTGAAGGCTTGTAATGCATACACAGATGAGTGTGGACCATGGTCAAAACCAGCCAATGAATCCACCCTTGATGGACGTAAGTACCAGTTATTCCTTTGGATAAAAAAAAACTTTTAGGGCATATGCAAGTAACATAGTGATGCTGGGATTTCATGAATTCACAGCTGCCAGTCCACCTATGAAGGTTCGGGTGAATTGCCAGTCTGATCAACATGGGAGTTACCTTCATATCTCCTGGGATCCTCCAACACAGTCAAATGGACAGATGTTCAAGGCAGAATACAAAGTCTGTCAAACATTCCATTTAAACTCCTAGTTTATGGTCTGGATTTTAGATATGGCCTGTATTTTTCATTGATATCAATGTGACCATGTCACCATCTCCATTCCAAAAAGAATTGTATCATGTATTTCCAAGGGATCTAGCATGCAATTAAATTTCTATGTTCTGTGTTCAGGTGTTCGTTGAAGAAAAATCAGTTTTTCTGAATGAACTTGGTGTATGGGAGGAGGCAAAAGATACAAATGTGCTCTCTGCTCATAACCGTTCATCACTCACCATTCAAGGCATTCCAAATACTAATTATACCATTCAGGTATGGTCATGTATTTGAGAAGTCCCTGTTTCAAGTCATATTGGTTACTTATCAACATTTCAAATATCAGTATCAGCAAATATCATTAGCAGTGGATAATGCTCTCACTGGTGCTTGGTATATGAAAATAAAGGCTCTGAATGCAGCTCTAATGCTTAAATTTCAATGAGTTTGTAATTGATTGTGTAAGGCATCAGAGATGAGAGCTTTTTTTTTAATCATTAACTTTGTACTTTTGACAAATTTTCTTAATTTAGTTTATACTTTTCACCTCATCTGACAGACCTGATATTGACATATGTGGATTTGTTTGAAAATTTGAGATGCTGATAGCATATGAGTTTTCAATATTATGATGGTGGATTTTAAAATCATATTGGAGTTTTGGGGAATAAGCTTTTCACTTGTTCTCTGTGATCAGGTATGTGCCATGTCACGAAATGGGCAATGTGGAACGAAGAGCCGAGTCACAAAGGTATCTGAGTGTTACATGGGGCCCAATCTTCCCAAGCAACTTCCTCGCTTCACTTGGAGGAAGCTGAAATCCTCTGAGGAGAACCAGATATTCAAAGTATTGCTTGTCAGAGCATCTGAGCGCTATGGCCCCATCTGCTGTTATAGGTTTGCATCCTGTTCCTCTTTTACCCTCTTTTTCAAACATGTTTGCCTGGAAGTTTCATCTGGAAAAAGAAAGGCTTGAGGTTTGCATGAATAATGCACTTGCTTTGTCTAATGCTTTAATGCGATGAAATCAAATGTTAGAGAATGAACATGGATATTGAATCGTAGGGTGGTGATTGTGCGATATGGAGAAGATCTGCAGGGAAGAGAGTTGCCATATCCACAGGAAATATCAGTTTCCACATATCAAGAGGCTCATAACCACCGAGGACAGCACCTGACTGGATATATTGCAGAAATGTTTGATAGGTGAGTGGAAACAAGTCAGAATGGCATCTGCTGTGCTGTCATGTGAACAGCATCAAATCCTCTTTTTCCCAGCAATCGCTTCCAAGATGAGGTCATAGTTGGGGATGGATCTCTATCTGTACCACCACCTCAATGTTCTGCATGCTACTCACAATCATATGCAAATTTCGATGAAGCGGGATTTTCACGAAATCGCCGCTACACACCGAACATCCCCACTTCTTTCCCCATTGTTGAAGATGGTCCACTGGAGTCCAATAGCACTTATAGTGGGTTCATAGAAGTCATTGGTATGTTGTCAAAAAAATTCTCCCAAGTTGTTTATTATTATTTTTGAGATCATTAAGTGTGGGTATTTGGTGTTGTCAGTGAAAACACTGACTGGAGATGTAGTGAGAAAACCAAGTGAATACTTCACCCTACTTGGATCAAGTGATCAAGAAAGCCCTCGAGATGAGGCTCCTCCCCAGTCTGATTTGATCCCCATCCTTGGTGTCACCCTGGGGTTGTTGGTTGTTGTTACCTTCATCCTGGCTGTCTGTGTCCTCCGACGGTACTCTAAGCTCATTTCAGCTGAGCAAGGCATTGAGCTCTCCTTCCGTTCCTCTGTGAGGTAGGACTCTCCTTGGTCCTCACTGAGTGCAATCCATTTCTCCTTGGCCCACCATAGAGAATGTTGTAAATTGCCTAGCAGATGTATGCCATCTTGTGAAGGCAAGAGTCAAAAAGAAATATACTCCCCTGATTTATTGTATGTCTGAAGGATACCCTTTCCTAGTTTACTACAAAATAATATATTAAAATGGTCAGGTGAGGAGTTTAATGGGTTTTAAACTTGGTCAACTCAGAAGTGTCAAGCAGTTCATTTGGCTGTCATAATGAACATTGATTACAAACTAATAAAAGGCACAAGCCTTTTATGTCAAATTTCCATGCATGTTGGACAACCTGTTCACAATCACATTAATTTTTCTGTGAATCAATTCATTTTCATTGATAGGGGTAGCATTTGACTATGTAATGCCCAGAGCATTGAGCTCTTTAACTCTCATCATTCAGACACATGTGGGCAACACTGCGTGGACACCCAGAAGGAATCCCACTGGCAACTGCATCACCTCCAGATATCTCTCCCATCCCTAAGCATCAACTTGTTGATGCTTTCATTGACAGACATCGGGACTCAGATCTTGGCTTTAGGCATGAATTTGAGGTCAGTTTATGTCTATGTTGTGTAATTAGATTTGCATTTAGGGTTTGCTGATTTTCATTCTAGTCTATAGGCCTACATTTATCAGAGTGATCAAATCTTACTTGATTTGGAAAGTAATAATTTATAGTTGTTTGACTTGTTGTAAATGATATGAAAGCATGGAAACAAACTCCCTCTTGTCTTCTCCCATTATCACCATGCTTGATATGGTTGGTTGTGTAGATGCTTCCTGAATGCTTCTCGGATCGAACGAGCAAGGCATCTGAAGACCCTCACAACAGTGCCAAGAATCGCTATCCAGACATCAAAGCCTACGATCAGACTCGGGTCTTCCTCTCTACTTCTCCCTTACATCCATCTGATTACATTAATGCAAATTTTGTCAAAGGGTACAAGGATCGAAAGACTTTCATCTGTGCTCAAGGTCCAGGAACTTGCCTTGTCTCTATGGTCTGTATGTTTTGATAGTGATGTGTGATGGAAGTTTTGCTTCTCTCTAGGTCCATTGCTGGGAACAGTGGCTGATTTCTGGCATATGATTTGGGAGCAGAAGATATCCCTCATGGTGATGCTTACTAACTTCGAAGAGAATGGGAAGGTGAAATGTGCCCGATATTGGCCTGAGGAGAGCTCTGAGTACTATGGAGATTGCCTTGTCTCCTGCACTGCAGAGAAAACCTACTCTGGTTAGTCCCAAGTCAATAGCTTTTCTTCCTCTCTTAATATCTTGTTAGAGATCCTTGAAAAGAAAAAAAAAACATTATAGGAGTTCTCTTAGCTTTATTCGGATTTTCTGATCAACAGATTATGTGCTGCGTCGCCTTCGAGCCGAGCGGAAGAAGGAAATGATGGGAAATGGGAAAAGGAACTCAGTGGAAGAATGCAGCCTAAAGGACAAGGAAGAGGGAGAGGGTCACATCGAGAAAGATGTCCGTGAGATCACTCACTTCCATTATTTAGTCTGGCGAGACTTCATGGCACCTGAGCAACCCAATGGTCTCTTGAAATTCATCAAACGCATCAATGAAACCTTCAATGCTCCTGAGTTCAATTCCAAGGGAATCATCCTTGTGCATTGCAGGTAAGTGATGTCTTGCCCTATCTATGCTTTCCCTTTTTTCTAAGAATTGACTGAAGCATGGCAAATTTGTGTTAATGAGCTCTGGTTGCCTATGTGTTTCAATCTAGTGCTGGTGTTGGGAGGACTGGAACTTTAGTTGCAATTGACTCCTTGCTTCAAGAGTTAGAAGAGGAAGGTCAGGCCAGCATATTTTCCTTCATCTCAGAGCTCAGACATCAGAGGAATTACCTTGTCCAATCTATTGTATGTCCTTTCCTCCATGTCCTCGTCTTCCTTGTTGCCTTTCATTCACCTCACCATTGCTCTTCCTCCTTTTATTGATCATACAGAAACAGTACATGTTTGTGTTTCGAGCTTTGATGGAACATGCCCAATTTGGGGACACAGAAATCCCTTCATCAGAGTTGATTGAGCGCTTTCATGAGCTCCAAGAGAAACTTCCTGAAGGCCAAACACTTATTAAGCATGAATTTCAGGTGAAATAATTGAAATGTGAAATAATTGGCAATGACAATCCAACAGTGGCTGAAATGACTATTTAATTGCAGAAATTGTCAGAAGTTGTGGAGGATCCATATCCCTGTAACCAGGCAAGAAAAAACAGAGGGAAGAATCGTTATGAGGACTGTGTTCCGTTGGACAAGAATCGTGTAATCTTGAATCCTATCTTCTCCAGACCAGAGGACACATACATCAATGCCTCTTTCATTCAGGTTTCTCTTCATTCGTACACTTTGGAAGCTGGAAGGAGAAATGTCATTTACATCAAAGTTTGCTTTTCCTTTGTAGGGATATGACCATTCCAATACATACATTGTGGCACAGGACCCACTGCAGTCCACAGTGGCAGATTTCTGGCGTTTGATTATGGATCAGGGAGTGAACAGTATTGTGATGCTGAGTGAAGGTGACTGTGAAGGGGAGGATGAAGACACAGTAGATGAGGCAAGGAAGCATCTCTGCCCACAGTATTGGCCTGAGGGTGAAGAACAGGTAACCCATGACCACCTCAAGATCCTCCTCACCAAAATGGAGACCCTGCCGATGTTCATCAAGCGCACCTTCACCATCACAAATACCAAGGTCAGTCATCCTGATGGAGCTGGTTGGATGAATTGGAATTTTTCATTATGTCCACTGACATTTGTAGAATAAGGAAGAGGTAAAGGTGACCCAATTTCAATACCTGGCTTGGGAAGGGGGTGTGGGATCTATCCCAGAATCCCCATCATCTCTCTTGGACCTAATTGGTCGTGTGAGTCGGAATCAAGAAGATGCCACCCTTCTCCCAGGAGAAGAGATGGAGACTGCTTGTGGGAAGCCTGCCCTGAGCATCCTGAAACCACCACCTCCTATCCTTGTTCATTGCAGGTCTCTCATTTTTTCTCTTTGTCGTAATTCACAGTTTGAGGGGTCAGAAAGAACAGATTGTGAACTTGTGTATAGTGGAGGAAGTGATCGGAGTTCAGTGTTTGTTGCCCTGGGGATCCTTCTGCAGCAGTTGAGGACAGAAGGGCATGCAGATGTATTCCAGGTGGTTCGCAACCTTCGCTCCCAACGACCACAATTCCTTCAGCATGAAGTGAGGATTTTTACAGATTAAGATGGTATCAGATATGGGGCACAGAAGTTGGGGTTTGTCCAAAATTTGAGCTTTTTGTTGCAGTTGGTACAAGACATATCTATATTTTTTCATTCTTGTGCATATTTCTTCTTTTTTTTTTTCTTTTTTTTTTTACAATATTACCATTATTTTCTTTTCCCCTCACCAGGAACAGTACGAGTTTCTCTACAGGGCATTGGTGGACTATCTGAATGGGTCAAGTTGAGATGGTGGTGCTGGATTGTGTGTCAACTTGCCAGTGACTTCAACATTTATGCTCTATTCTTTCTCTTATCTATCATGCTCATCCTCGTGTCATTCAGTGTCTATTTTTTTTTTTGGTACATTCATGCTATGATGTTGGATGTGTTGTTTACTTTTTGCATGACTGTTTCCCCAGCGCATTTTCATCCAGGCTAGTCACTCCCCCATGTTATTCCACATTCTTCCTCTGCCTCTGTTGGTCTCATGTTGAAAAACATTGTCAGGACTCAAAGACAGAGGCTGTGATCTCATCCTGTTCCCAAGGAATCTCATCTTTTTGTTTTCTTTCTCCCTCTCTTCCAGGAAAAGCCAGAGGCATTTATCTGTGGACCTTGTAAATAAAATCTGCCTTTAAAAGACTTACCAAGTTTGAATCGTGGCTCAGCATCGTCCATCCCATTCGACAAACAAGGAAGAGTAGAAAATCATCCAAACGAGCATGAAGCTGATTAAGTAATGTAGTGGTTCAGTTGATGGAGAGATGATATGGAGTGTTCAGAAAGAAATGGATAAAGGATAAAGCACACGTAACATCCGATCCTTATCGATTACGTTGACTTGTGTTGTGATCACGTCGTGTCGTGTTGTGATCACGATCACTGCCTAACTTCTCTCTCATCCTAGAGTGTAGCTTACAGTATTCCACTCCGCTCGCATCCCAATCTTCGGCAGGGTCGCAATAAAGATGTCACTGTCGATCCTCTACCTAGCACGCGCACATCAATGACTCCTCCATGGCCACAGCAGCAGGACTCAACCAGACACGCCGAGTATTACGTTGGGGAATCCAGTCAACCCTCGTTCATCAGGAGAGATTATTCTTCTTTTTCATGGAAACAGGCACCTTCAATCGTGCAAAAAAAAAGCCTTTATATTTTTGAATGGGAATAGGGAAAACTTGGACTCTGTTTAGTACATGAAAACTTTCTCGTGTGGACACTAGTATGGATCAAACGAACAAAGAATGTTGCGAAATAAAACAACAAATTTCCCAGAGCATCTTCCTAAGGGTGAGTGAGAGTGCAGACAGAGGGAAATTTTTTTTCTGTTGTATCATGTATTTTGCTGCCAAGCCCGGATTAACGGCAGAAAATGGACCGGATAAACGAAAAATACGGGATAACGACGTCCACATTAAACGGATAATTTCATGAATTCTATTAGACTTCTGCCGGGAATATTCCAGGTGTCCGTATTATCGATGTTCGGATTAACGAGAGTTGACCCCTTGGGTCGATTCCCGATTCGGCTACCATGAAGTGTTGTTAACAAGTCAATGTAGTATTTTGACCAACATTACCTCTCAGAGTACTCTGTCCTCAATGCTCCCCTCTCCGTGTAGCTTCATCATACTGTACCAAAAATGGAAGTAAGTAACCTTCCTTCGAATAGGAATTCGAACGCCCTTCTCAGCGCGCAAGGGTTCCATCAAAGATAAGGAAGGCAAAGAATTAAGGGACCAGCAAGGTATCAAACGTAGATGGCGAGAATATACAGAAGATCTGTACGCTTGTAACAGCGAACTCCCAGCGGCATTTCTTCAGGGAGTAGAAGCTGCGACAACGGAACTAGAACCAGCCATCCTCTCAGAAGAAGTTGTTTGGGCGATGAAACAATTACCTGACAGCAAAGCCCCCGGTATCGACAGCATACCGGCCGAAATACTAAGGCCCATACCAACAGAAGCTCTCACAGCACTATGTCAGAAAATCTGGGAAACCAGTGTGTGGCCAAGAAAATGGAAACGGTCGGTATTTATTCCACTGCCAAAAAGGGGGGATTCAAAAGACTGCTCAAATTACCGCACAATTGCCCTCATCCCCCATGCGAGCAAAATTCTCCTCAAGATCATACAGCAACGCCTCAATCCAATCATCGGAAGGGAATTGCCTGATGCCCAAGCTGGCTTCAGACGTGGTCGAGGTACCCGCAACCATATCACAAATCTGCGATGGATAATGGAAAAATCCCGCGAGTACCAAAAGCACATTTATATGTGTTTTATCGACTACAAGAAAGCCTTCGATTGCGTCGAGCACGACAATTTGTGGATGGCCCTGCAAGAACTCGGGGTGCCAGATCATCTGATCAAGTTGATAAGATCGCTGTATACAGACCAAGAAGCCACGGTTCGCACAGCATATGGTGACACTGACTGGCTCAAAATAGGGAAGGGAGTGAGACAAGGTTGCATTCTCTCTCCCTTCCTATTCAATCTGTATGCTGAAATTATCATGAGGAAGTTAGACCTCGAAGATTCAGAAATTGGAGTGAAAATCGGAGGACGGAACATCAATAACCTTCGGTATGCTGATGACACCACTCTTCTCTCAGAAACAGAAGATGGCCTGCAACATCTCATAAAACGGATCAAAGATGAAAGCGCAAAGTTTGGCCTCCTCTTGAACATCAAAAAGACCAAGATCATGACAACGGCAGGAAATGGTAATATCAAGATAATAATTGATGATGAAGAGATTGAATGCGTGCAAGAATTCACCTTCCTCGGATCTCAGATCGTTCGAAATGGAGAGTGCAGCCCCGAAGTAAAGCGTCGAACAACCTTGGGCAGAATCGCAATGCTGAGCATGGACAAAGTATGGAAAAGTAAAGACATCAGCATGACGACCAAATGCAGACTGGTTTGTGCCGTCGTGTTCCCCATAACCATGTACGGCTGTGAAAGTTGGATCTTGAGAAAAGCAGACAGGAGGAAAATCGACTCTTTTGAGTTGTGGTGTTGGCGAAGGCTCCTCCGCATCCCGTGGACAGCAAGGGTCACGAACAAGGAAGTGTTGGAGC